GTATCCTTGAAGTTCTGATTGATTACAACATTGATTTTTTTATTTTTTTACAAATTTCAAATTGCAATTATGAAATAAATTCTTACTAATTTACTCCTCTGTTCGTCTTAGGGTTCCTTGTAAGGTTTTATTTTAGAAAAAAAAAATCTTTGGGTTAGGAAAAAAGTTTGTCTTTATTTATTTATTTTTTTTTTTATTTTGAGACAGAGTCTTACTTTGGCACCCTGAGTAGAGTACTATGGCATCATAGCTCACAGCAACCTCACTCTTAGGCTCAAGCTATTATCTTGTCTCAGTTTTTTCTGTTTTTATTTATTTATTTTTATTTTTTTGAGACAGAGACTCAAGCTGTTGCCCTGGATAGAGTGCTATGATGTCATAGCTCATAGCAGCTTCTATCTTGGGTTCAAGTGATCCTCTTGCCTCAGTTTTTCTATTTTTAGTAGAGACAGAGTCTCTCTTTTTGTTCAGGCTGGTCTTGAATTTGTGAGCTCAGGCAATCAGCCCGCCTCAGCCTCCCAGAGTGAGTCACTGTGTCCTACCAGGAAAAAGTATGAACATCACCACTCTGACATCCATGGAGTTTTAACTGAGCTGACAGTTTGTAATGAACAAGCAAGTTGGTCCTTAATGGGTGATGTGTGACAGCTGTTAACTTTATGGTGGCCCACTGGATGTCTAGGAAGGAGGGAGAGGAAATCCGAGAGGATGTTTAGACCCTCCAGGGACATCAGTGCTGCATGCCTGTCCTTAGTGGGCTGCTGAGATTGGGGGGAAGCAGAGAGGGTTCTCTGTTCAGTCTCTGCTCTACTCCCTGTCTCTTCCCTCAGAGCAGGTTCCTAGCTTCAGTATTATGAGCATTCAGGGCGATGGTTCCTTGTCCTGATGGCTGTCCCTCTGTCCTGTGATGTTCCCATGAGCTTCCCGGAGCAGCCTCCCCCAGCTGTGGAAACCAAAACTGTTTCTAGACATTGGCACATGTCCCCTAGGGGGGCCACCTTAGCCCCCCAGTACAGAAACTGCTGCTTCAGCATAATTCGGCTTTCTGAAAGCTTGGATCTAGAAATTTGATGTTCCTAAGACGTATGAGCTAAACGTGCACACACACAGAACCCAAGACAAAAAGACCTCCCAGCCCAAACTACTGTGGTTTGTACCAACATCACACTGAGATGTGGAGTAGGAAAGGTATGTGCAGAGATGGCTCAAGGAGTTCCATTTTCTTTTGTGTTTCTACTGTTCAAGTATGTTGGAGGAAGGTTTCTTTTCAGGTGATGAGCTTGGCTACTTTGGAAGGCCACCAACATACAGTGATGAATGGAGGAACTGATTTCATGAGACAGTCTTGTCTGGTAGTAATTGAGAGCCAGTGTTTTAAAGGGGCTGAGCTGGTCTTTGACAAATAAAATGCTAGAAATAACAATAAAAGCCCTCCAGATCTTCACCCTCCACCCTACCCCAACTCCCCCAGAGGAGCAACCCAGGCCGTACCCCTCGATCCATTCTCTCTTCCACAGGTTTCTGCTCCCCTAAGGTTTTAGAAAAAGCAAATAAAGATCCAGTAGAAAAACAGGGCAGCCAATCCTGTTGGCTGCAGTGGATGGTGGCTCCCATCCTCCTTTGGGAAGCCCTGCCTACTTACTGCGCGCACTGCGCAAGGGTTCATTCACATTGTGTGACAACTCACAGCAGTGTTGTTGTCGGTAGGGCACGAGTTTGCTTGTGAAAACCGGACTCCATTTAGTCAGTTTTTGCTTGAGAAAATGAGAGAAGGGAATGTCTTAAATGTCTGTGAGTTTGGCTAGTGACACAGCTAACTGGCCACATTGGCCCTTGCACAGGGTGTTTTCCTTCCCGCCGGGAGGTCAGAGAGCTGCAGAGCGGCCAGTTAGTGGCTCAGCCCTAATCCATGCTGCTTGTTCTTCCTTTGCTTTTTAAAAATGTTGACATAAAATTCACATACCAGGCTTAGTGCCCTCAGCACAGTAGTTACAGTGCCAGTCACATACACCAAGGGTGGTGGGTTCAAACCCAGCCCAGGCCAACTAACCAACTGCAACAAAAAAATAGCCGGGTGTTGTGGCGGGTGCCTGTAGTCCCAGCTAATTGGGAGGCTGGGGCAAGAGAATCGCTTAAGCCCCAGAGTTTGAGGTTGCTGAGAGCTGTGATGCTGTGGCACTCTACTGAGGGCGACATAGTGAGACTCTTGTCTCAAAGAAAAAAAAATACACATACCATAAAATTGACCCTTATAAAGTGGGTACTTTGGTGGGTTTTCGTGTGTTCACTGCTGTGTCATCCAGAACACTTCATCACCGCTGAACCCCTCTGCCGCTCCCCCCTCCGCAGCCATGAATCTGCTTTCTGTCTGTGTAGATTTGCTTATCCTGGGCTTTTCACGTAAGTGGCATTGTATAATATTTGTCCTTTTGTATCTGGCTTCTTTTATTTAGGATCAAGATTCACGCATGTTGTATCACGATCAGAATGTTGTCCTTTTTATGGCTGAATACTGTTTGTTCATACAGATGGATGCTCTGTTTCTTTAATTACTGATGACTGCCCCAAACCTCAGAAGGCTATGGGGTGTGTAGGTGCTAGAGATTGTGAATCTTGCCCGAAAGGACTGTATAGTCTGTTGGAGAAATTTTTTTTTAACATTGTAAAAATTTTAAAAAGTTTTAAAAAGAATTCTATCTAGGCCAGGTGCAGTGGCTTATGCCCATAATCCCAGCAGTATGGGAGGCTGAGGTGGAGGATGCCTTGAGTTCAGGAGTTGAGACCAGCCTGAGTAACAGTGAGACTCCATCTTTACTAAAAATAGAAAAACTAGCCAGGTGTCATGGCAGGCACCTGTGGTCCCAGCTACTCAGGACGCTGAGGCAGGAGGCTCCCTTGAACTCAGGAGTTTGAGATTGCTGTGAGCTAGGATGTCACAGCACTCCAGCCTGGGTAAAAGAGTGAGACTCTATCTCAAAAAAAGAAAAATATATTCTATTCTAATAATAGAATAATCAATGGAAATACCAGTTTAAGAAAATATTGAAGGAAAAAGAAAGCATATAAAGAAAAGCTTTTTGAGAAAAACAAGAAATATAATTGATATTTCTGATTATAGAAGGGATTTCTGGGCTCGGCACCTGTAGCACAGTGGTTATGGCACCAGCCACATATGCTGAAGTTGGGGGTTCGAACCCAGCCCGGGCCAGCTAAAAACAACAATGACAACTGCAACCAAAAAAAAAAAAGAACTTAAAAAAAAGATTTCTATAAAAATGACAGCTGTCAGTTTAGAATGCAGAGTGACACATTGTTAGCTAACATCTGTTGGGTCAGCCTTTTTAAGGACTGCTTGAAACATAGAATAAGTTCACAAAATTAACAAGAAAACATCTCCTGCTAATGTATGAGTATAACGTGGCCGAGCATGGTGGCTTGAGCCTGTAGTCCCAGCCCCTCAGGAGGCTGAGGTGGGAGGCTCACTTGAGACCAGAAGCTGGAGGCTGAACTATGATAGTTTCACTGCCCTCCTGCCTGAGTAGTACAGTGTGACCCTGTCTCTGTCTCTAAAAAAAATTTTTTTAAGTATAAAGTGAGGTGCTGCTGAGGTGGCAGTTAGGATCTTAAGTTTACGTCTAGTCACCCTTCGCATATCTTGAAATTGTCTATAACATGCAGTCATCACCAGTTAGTATGGTAACTCTCTGCAGGAATTTGCATATATTAATCTAGTAAGAATTAGGGGGACTTATTCAGAAATTAAATCATTTAACTATTTTGCTGCCCAGGACATTTCAGCACAGTTTACAAAGATTTCCACATCTGACTTTCAGCTGTCATCACTGTTGTACTGTCTGGGGACAATTTTAGGATTCCTTCTAACTCTTCCTTGGTCTATATTTCTCTGGGGCTACTTGCCTTTCACCTGGGAATTCACTTCTCTTCTCTGTCAGTACTGGGAGAAGCTCTGAATGTCATTCAAATTTTCTTACCTGAGCTTTACCAACTTGCAGAAATGTTTCCCAATCGGCCTCCCTCCTGGCCTGTGGGCACAGGCCAGTTGTGAGCAGAGCTGGGCCAATTGTGAGTCCCTGGGCCTAAATCCTCACCTCTCCCTCTCCCTAAATAGAGCTGAATTGGGGTAAGTTAAATAGGTATATGAAGCTACTTCTGTGCATAAAGTCAAAGAAAACCCCCTACCAGAACTGTTTAGTGACTAACCTGATAGTTACCACCTAAGCGGGTCCAGAAAACTCAGGCTGGGGCTAAGCGAGGCTTCTACCTGTGTGAACTGTCCAAACGAAGATCAGCTTGTTCTACTTTAGGTTTTGCCGCAAGGCCAGGAGCCTTCTGAATTGTTACCTATCTGATGTGGTGGCTGCCACACTAAACGAATGCTCGCTGAGCATGTGCTAAGTGGTCAGCCCAAAGCAGGGGGAGTATGTGTGTGCCTGGACACAGAAAGCAGCTCTAATGATATGACGATCTCACAGGCCCACTGTCATCTATGGCGGATTGAAAGTTCCTAATGCAGCGTGTGACTCAGCATTCAAGTCTCAGATCTACTATGGGGCTATGAGAATCCCAAGAACTTGCTTGGGAAGGGGATCGCCTGGGTACCGAGAGGTCGCTGCAGAGACATCCGGTCAGACTTTGCACCAGTAGGGAAGGAGTCGGTGTCCCCCAACAGCCCTGCTGACTGTCCCGTCAGGTCCTCACTCAGACAGCACATTCCCTCTGCACCGAGACCTCCAAGACCCCTAGAAAGCCCAAGGCACTCGGCCTGCTGGGGAGGCTGGGGCCTGTCTTACCCAGCAGGGCTCAGGCCTTCCTCCCGGCAAGGTTTGTTTCAGAAAAGTCCTGTGTAAATATTTTCTTCCATGGTGCCCCAGGGGGAAAATGACAGGGCCAGAAACTCTTTAAAGCTACAGGACCTAGGTCACGTCCCAAAGTGTGAGGTCACAGGGGAGTGTCCTCAGTCTAGGCCTTGATCACGAGTCACTGTGTGACGGCTCACCCTGGGCTCTTGTTGAAAACCACCACTTAAATCAGCCGAGTTCCCACGAGTCCTGGATGTCCACATGAGCAGCGGGTGACCCTGTTAGAATCGAGTCTTTGTGATATGTCACCAGCCCCTCCGGCAGGAGCTCCGCACACTTGGCCTGACTCACCCAGACCTGAGATTCTCCCAGACCCGTCTGAATGCAGCCCTGGGAGGGAGATCAGAGCATGCCCGTGCTGTCCCTGCTGCCCAAAGCGCATGTGTATGCTGGTGCCCTTGAGCACACATGTGTTAGTTGGGGGATAGAACAGCCTCACGTGCGCCATCTTGGTAACATCAGATCCTGCCACCTTTCTGCAGTTTGGGATTCCCGATGCCTTTCCAAGAACACTGTCCTGTTGCCACGGCGTATCACCCCTCTTCCACATCACGGCAGCACACTTTCTGCCCCTCTGGTGTCCTCCCACCCTGCATGACTCTCTGGGCTCCCTCTGCCCCCTTCGTGAGGGCTCCCAGCTGCAAGTGCTGCCTCCGGATACCATCCAGGCCCCAACTGGACTGTCCTTGTCCCCTGGATGTGCTTGGTGAGCACCTTCCATGTGCCAGCCGCTCTGTGAGGCACTAGTGACACTCTGGTGGCAACTTGGACAAGTTCCCTGTCCACTGAGACTGTTCTAGTGTCAGGGACAGAGAATGAAAAACACAAATAATTATACACTACTCCATCTGGCTAGTGATGGGCTGGAAGGAATCAGTGTGGGGGCCAGTGGGAGACTGGTTTTAGAGGGGGGTCCCAACAGTCTCCCTGAAGATGAGGTGACACTTGAACTGAGACCTGACTGCAGCATAAGAGCTGTGAGGAAATCTGCACAAGACCTTTCCAGGGAGAGAAAGAGCCCTGCAGGGAGCCGGGCATGGTGGCTCACACCTATAATCCCAGCAATCTGGAAGGGAGAGGTAGGTGGACTGCTGGAGCTCACAGGTTCAAGACCAGCCTGAGCAAGAGTAAGACCCTGTCTCTAAAATGCCTGGCATTGTAGTGGGCGCCTGTAGTCCCAGCTACTCCAGAGGCTGAGGCAATAGGATCCCTTGAGTCCAGGAGTTTGAGGTTGCTATGAACCATGGTGCCAGGGCACTCTACCGAGGGTGACACAGTGAGACTCAAAAACACTCCCGAAACCCAAAAACCTCATTATTAGAGAAAGCAAACATGACCACAGGAGAATGACAATAAAATCAAAAAAACAGAATTAGCCTCCCATAGTTACTTAAAGTTAGCTACTAGTTTGGCCTTGAGCTTCCTGGGTGGGTAATAAAGAAAACATCATGAGTTGTAAGATTCGCAGTCACCCACAACAAAACACAGCACATGGAAACAAATTCTCTTGAAGCCCAGGCCTGAGAAAATGTCTGCAGTGATTCCTGTTG